ATGTCTAATAGGAACACTTTGTAGGCGTAATTTCTAAATATGAAAGAAATCTGTCCTAAAGCCAGAAGATTTAGCTTAAGGCTTTATGTGGGCTGGAGGATAAATAACACCCTTCAGTGTGGATCAACTTGCACATGAACAACAGCCGACATTAAAACATGAGGAAAGAGTTTTGCGGTTCTTATTGTATACAGATGTTGGCTTGCTCGTCTGAAAAAAAGCTGACATCGAATCGACAACGTCTGCACTTGTTCTTGATAATCCCTCAACAAAGTACAACAAGAAGATCAGATTTGCATCGAATTTCCTTCACATTCAGTGAGTCAAAGCAAAAACTGACACTTTAGTCCACAAACAGGCACCAAGAGCAGCGTTATGATCGCACAAACAAGCAGCACAACGCAGAAAAACGAAAACCTCCCTGAGTGATTACGCAACATGAGAAATTAAAAAATGAGGCAACAAGAAGCTTTTATGAAGCAGAAAACTTAGAAGAAATTACTTCAGCCGGAGCGACTGTGTCTCCGCATTGAGGATTTCAAAACAGCTCTCCAATAAAAGGCTTTTACTGAGCAGCCACGTTTCTTCTCAGCAATTTTTTGCATCGCATTCATTCCACAAAAGCACAAACAACCACAAGCTCGAGCTGCAGGACAGCGAAGCGGCACATCCACACTCACGGAGGACTCGGGTGAAAATTTCACACTAGCTATTTTTAAAGGGCAAATGATTACTCAATGCAATGACTAACCGTTAAAACTCTAAAACCAAGAACATTCCAGCAGCTGCAGAGTCTCTGACAACACCATAAAGACTGCAGCGAACTTGTGCAGTTGTCCAAAGTGTTCGTTAATGTGTTGGCTACTGATTTTAGAGCCTTTAACAGTAGTAAAAAAAATAAAAACTATAGTTTTATATATGCACTTTTTTTTTTTTTTTACAAAGATTTACCAGTAAGACTTTGCTCAATTTTGCTCAAAGATTAAAAAAAAGTTAAATCATTAACTCCAAATCTTGACTTTGTTCTCCTCAATGATGTGGTTGAGAAAAGCTCCTTCTACTTTTGGATGCACATCTTCTATCACACTGTGACTGAGCGTTATCGTAGATTACATGGAACAAAGTGTACAAAGTGTGGCACATGATGAGCGACGCAGTGTTTTGCACTTTACTGCCACTCTAAGTATTCCCATCGTTGATTAATCGGTTTATTATATTCTTGATTATTTGATTAGTTGTTTGGCCTTTTAAATGTGCGAAAATGTTGAAAAACGTTGATCAAGTGTTTCCCATAGCCTAATTGCAAATGTCTTTGCTACGGCGCCGCTTGGTCTGGGTAAGCGTATGGGTGTTTGACAATGTCACTGTTTTCTTCCGAGGTGATCAGCTGATCCAGCCTTTTAATCAACCTGATCGCGAGCACCTGGACCCGATGCATGGACGGAGTTAAAAGCGTGGCTGATCAGCGTCTCTTTCTCTCTCTGCTCGACATCACTACAACACCACACACATTCACATGGACACCACTGACCAACACACCTCATACCGGTATTGTTCTATTTCTTTTGTTTAAATAAATATATATATTTGTTTAAGTTCGCACTGCGTCTCTCAGCTTTTGTCATTGCCTTTGAGTCGGGTCATGACATCTTATTTTGTCCACAACCAAAAAACATTCATTTTAGGGTCATAAAAACGTAAAGAAACCAGAAAATATTGACATTTAAGTAGCTGGAATCAATTCATTGATTTGCTGTTTGGCGTATAAAATGTGAGAAAATGATGAAAAACGTTGATCGGTGGATCCCAAAGCACAGTTTCACATGTTTTGTTTTGTCCACATTAAAAAATATTCAGTTTAGAGTCATAGAAGAGTAATGAAACCATAAAATATTCACATTTAAGAGGGTGAAATCAAAGTAGTTTGACCCTGTTTTTCCCCCTAAAAGATTATTCAAAGCAACCAATCGATTATCAAAATAGGGAGGAATTTGCGAGGTGGAAACTCATTGATTGATCATTGCAGCTCCAATAAGCTGTGACTGTATGTTAGAACTTAGGTCCATCTATTCTGCACAGGTGTTGATTTAACTACATGATCTCGTTGTAAGATGCAGTTTGTGGTGCTGCTGAAATATGTCTGACTGAAGGTGCTTTAATTTTGTCCACCTTCTACCGATTTGGGTAAATAACAACAGCACCACAAACTACCTCCCCTAAAGTGAGCACAAAGCTGAACTGTCAGAGTCTCCAGGGCTTCTGCCAGGACAGTTAACTCCCATCATCACCAGCCACTCGCTCGCTCGCTGTCTGTCTGTCTGTCTGTCTGTCTGTCTGTATGTCTGTCTGTCTGTCTGTCTGTCTGTCTGTCTGTCTGTCTGTCTGTCTGTCTTTACTTTGCTGCTCTGACTCAGCAAACACGTGGTGGAAACATGTCTGTCCAGTTATGCAGCGTTACCTGCCTGCACACTGTGGGAAGCAAACACTGCTGTTTTCTGTGAAGGTTTCATTAGTAAAGTAGAGCAAACAGTCAAGAGGACTCCCGTCTGCTCACTTCCTGTTTAGGCGCGTTTCTGTTGTGATGTCAGCGCCGCATGTGTTGTCACTTTGGAGGCTCCAGTTTGACTCCACCACTGTTTTGCATTACAAATTTTTTTTTAAGAGGTTTTCTCCCCGAACGCCGCTGTGCCGCTTTAATATCTGATCACTGAGTTGTATTCACACCAAAAGGTCAAACAGGCGGTTATGACTGTGCATCAGGTACACAGAATGCAATCCTAGCGTTTTGTTTAGTTGTGTTTTGTTGCCTTACTGGTGTGTTGGTGCTCATTTGATCAAATTATGAAAACAAAACCTGAAATGCACTGAACATGAAATGAAAAAGAAAAGTGAGTTAATGTTAGATTTTAGACTCTTTGAAGGTAATAATATTCTTGCTGCAACTTTCTTACAAATTACGATTATGGTACACACTGTTCCAAAATGTATTTCACATATTTCCACACATCTGTTTCATGAGACAGGTGTGTAGTGGAGCATTTCCAAAGGTGCACAAACACATTTATTCGTGAATGTTTTCTTCCCTCGAGGCCACACAAGGGATTTTCAACAGAACACGGGTTTACACTGGATATACCATTATAGACGGCCTACTAGCTGTGAAACTGTTCAAACATTTAGCTATAATAAGTGTCACACAATGAATAAAACACTTTGCTACACAGCTGAAGCCCTGCTTTAGTCAGAAACATTGATTGTTAACATAATTGTATACATAATTTGTGTTATTCTACATTTTCCACCACTATAATTTCCCTCCTGACCACTAGATATAGTCCGTTTTTATTTCAGGTGTTTTCTTGGTTGATAGTGGAATTGCTAATCTTGAAATAGCATTGCAACTAATTTTCTGGTGGGGAGAAATAAAATTTTCTGTATATGAACGTGTATATACTAACGTTTCTTTACAGTTTACAAGACAGTAATGTGGAAGGTTAATTATTAGTTTGATCCAAAAAATATATATGTTTTTGTAATATGTGTAACTAGCTGACTTTATGTTAAACTACGGTTATGCTATATTAGCTTGCTGTAGCATTAGCTAACTAGCTGACTTTATGTTAGAGTAAGGTTATGCTATGTTAGCTTTCTATAGCATTAGCTAAGTAGCTGATTTCATGTTAAAGTAAGGTGATGCTATATTAGCTTGCTGTAGCATTAGCTAACTAGCTGACTTCATGTTAAAGTAAGGTTATGCTATATTAGCTTGCTGTAGCATTAGCTAACTAGCTGACTTCATGTTAAAGTAAGGTTATGCTATATTAGCTTGCTGTGGTGTTACTTAGCTAGCTGACTTTATGTTAAACTACGGTTATGCTATATTAGCTTGCTGTAGCATTAGCTAACTAGCTGACTTTATGTTAGAGATGGTTATGCTATATTTGGTAGCCATAGCATTAGCTTGCACGCTGAGTTTATGGTAAATTAAGCTTATGCTGTAGCATTAGTTTGCTAGCTTGAATTCTTTGCTACTGTCAGCTAAGCATCTCTGTTAATTTGGTGTTATTTTTAAACCATAAAATTATATGTTTTGTTCTACAGGCCCCTCAATTGTAAAATAATTCTCAATAAACTTTTTTTAAAATAAAAACGTTCTGTTATTTAACATCAATGCTGCAGTTAAAGTCAAAGCAACATCAAAGTTTTTATTGTAGTTAATCGTATGCATAGGTAGCAAGTTTGTGTTGGTAAAAGTGACTTGTGAGGTTCTATTACTTTGAGGAACTTCTTCCCCAGGTTGTATTATACTGTTTTTAAAAAACATATTTCAAAAGAAAATAGACTTTTTTTTTTTCTTTTAACGGGGAGCATATTTTCCCAGTTCAACTCAAGATCATGATTAAGTGCAGTAACAGAATACAGCACTCCTATTCTGTACTAATTAAAGTATAATCCTGCACAGTGTGAATGTCTGTCTATTGGGTATGTTTTCCATCATGCCATTTCTGCACATGTCTATATGTATATTCATTATGCTGCAGATGTGAAGGTCATATTATATCTTTATTTTAAGGCTTATTGTACATTTCTATGTCCTTTCTTGCTTCTTGTCATGTCTCATTTGTGTCTGGCTGCTGTAGCATGTGAATCTGAGCAATATTTAAGCTTCAATCTTATTTTTATGGTGCCAATTTACAACATATGTCATCACATTGCAGCTCACATAGGAAGGGGAGGATCTTGTGAACTTCAAACAGAGAACAGACAACTCAACAATCCAGGGTTTGCCTTTGAATTCCCCATAAGCCAGCAACAGCAGGAAGGAACCAAAAAAAAAAACCTTTAAATGAGGAGGAAAACAAACACCTCAGACAGAACCAGGCTCAGAGAAGGCGGCCATCTGCCTCTACCTGGTGGGGTTATCTTATCTCATGTTATCAATACTAATAATTAGCATTAGAACTAAAAATCCGAACAAAAAACAAATCAGCAGGTAAAACAGAAACTTCAGCGTCTCAGGATAACATCTTGACTCGCTCTTGTGCGCATGTGCGCAGCTGACTTCCTGACCCGGCTGCTGTTCTTGAGGAGCTGCAGGCTTGTCTGCAGGGTGGGAACTATCTTGTGAAAGCGTGAGAAACCTTTGGCTGGCTGCTCCACAGATCCTCCACTCAACGAAGTAATTATTTCTCGGCCGTAACCCATGTGCGACTCCGAGCAGAAACATTTTGTACCGTTGTGTGGGACGCTGAGGGGCGGAACAGTGTTTGTGGGCAGCACGAGGCTAAAGCTACACTCGCTTAGCAGCTGTTGCGCAATCCGAATCACAGTTCTTTTTTTTTTTTTTTTAACAAACAGAAGAAGTTAAATAAAGTCGGACTTACCGGCGGAGCCACCGGCGATGATCTGATGAGACGCCTCCCGGAGCATGCTGCGGGGTTTGCTGCTCGTCATGTTCACCGTTTATGCGTCCTGCCGAAAACAGCGACAAACTTGACAGCAGATCTGTGAGCGGCTGGAAAACGAGGCTGAAGCAGAGCGACAGTGTGTTTGGGTGTTAAATCCCTCCGATCAGACCTGTCCTGGTTCCTGTCGTGGCTCCGGTTCACTGACTCTGGCTCCAGCTGGAGAGAAGCGCAGCGCTGATGTCTCTCCGAGTGCTCGCAGGCTAAGCTAAGCTAAGCTAATGTGGATTCAATTAGCACCGCCAAAAAACTCATTCACCCTCCCTCCTGGTCCCTCTCACTCATCCAGGGTGAATATGTGAAATTAAGGTGAACCCTGAGCCCCCTGCTGCCCCTGATCACTGTCAGTCACATAACGAGCACAAAGGTCACTTTATTGTCATAAATGTCCAGAAATAATAAAGTTTTTAAAGGGACTACACTGATGTTTATTATTATTAGATGAGAAGTAAATGTGTTTATACAATATTTAGTGTTGTATTTATTACTATTATAAATGAAAGGAGTGCATGACTTAAAGCAGAGCGTCACAGAGTCATCAGAATTAAGTTTTTTCTATTTTAAAGACAGAACTGTCTTTTAAAAAAAAAGAAAATCCTGCAAAATCTGAACTGCAAAATAACATCTCATGCATAAATGAATGACTAATGCAATTAGACATTATTTTAGTTGTAAAATAAGACATCTGGTTTTTAATATTTCACCCAAAATCACACCATCCATGCCCAGAATTAGTTTTTTTAAAAGAATTAAACTCAGAGCCTGTGACTTCTGCCCTGTCATATTTTTCTTCAAATTTTCTAATAGATACATGTATTGTTTTTTTATTTTAAAGCAATGCTTTACTTCAAATCATATAGTTTAAGAATCAAACTGAAAAGCCTGTAGGATCTAAACTGTAATATGTCAGTATGTTTTTTGTTTTATAGATAGATTAGCTGTTTATTATTTTAAAGTGATAATTCACCAAAAGTTATACAGTCTTTGCCCCAAATCTGTTTTTAACTAAAAAACTATGACATCTGGACTGTTATATTTCAAATTTCCTCAGTTTGATAGATAGATAGATAGATAGATAGATAGATAGATAGATAGATAGATAGATAGATGAGCATTTACACACATTTGTAAAAATGGGGGGAAAAATACATTGAAAAATGCAAAGAAATGCATTAAGAACTGGTTAAACAATTGTGCATTTTGGTTCTTTCATGTATTTTTTGTGATTGGTCTTCTAGAAATATGACAAAATCTGCTGGGTCAAAAATCTACATAGAATTATCAGTTTTTATGATGCAAACTTTCTTGGTGGCGTGGCCTCCTTATTCTTGTGAGTAGTTACAGTTTACTACAGCTGCTGAGTCCAAGCAATAGTTCTTATTTTTAAAGAGATAGTTAAAGGATCAGACTCAGACGCTGTGGGATCTGAACTGTAATCTGCCAATATTTTTCAGTTTTATTAATAAATAGTAATATTTGTGACAACAAAGTTACAAAGAGCTTTACAGCAAAACAAATTAAATAATAAAAAACTAATTCTAATTACTGAATAAGAGCCTAAGCATACAAGATAACAAGATCAAATAGGTCACATTTGTTGAAGTTTTTTTTATTGAGCATATTGAAGACAATATTGTTCCTGGATTGCCCTTCAGTAAAAAGGATTATGATTGTAGATACAAAAGGAACCTGACAAGTGTAAATATTAGATACCCAAACAACAAATGGATTGTGCTCTGTAATAAGTAACAGTTACAACTAGTACGAACATGCATCATGTCCAGTAGTGATACACGATAGATATTTGATGCCATGTCTGACTGATCATATCAATCCCAAGCATTCTGAGCAACATGACCTAATACTTGTCCTTGAACATGTTCAAAACAGTCCCGACCTGTGGGACCATTTTCGACACAGGTTTGCGTCACACACACACACACACACACACAGGACAGGAGGCCGTTGTCCCTCCTCTAGCTGTACCTTATGTACTGCAGATTTTAGTGTAAAACACAGATAAAGCGTGAACCCGTCACTGAGCAGCATAAGGCAAACATAATGAGCACAAAGGTCATTTATAGTGGACGCTGACTACAACTCAGACTGCATGATGTCCACACACATGATGATTACATGTTTTATACATGTGTGCAAGGCTGAAGCTGGTGGGATCTGAATGCATTTTGTAACTGATCAGGTAAAAAATGATTAAAATCTGTTAGCACCAGTGTTCAGTTTGATCCAAAATGGTTGCAACTGCTTTTTTTGTTTTACTGAGACATGTCAGAACAATTACAAGCATTTCCAGTAACAGAGTTTTTCCTGAGCTCATACCTGTCCTTGAACAAACAGTCAACAAACAGGTCGGCAGGTTTGCACAATAAACATACACATACGAGGCCCCTTATGTAAACCATGCAGGGCCATTGTAGCCGTCCCCCCTCTAACTGCAGCTTGTGTAAAGCAAATGTCATGTTTTAGAGACTTTTGTGACCACATGAGTCGACACACTGTCTGCATTTACTGTAAAGTTATTTTCACACTGACGACATCTTGATTTAACAGCTGAGTTAGATTCCTGCTGCTTTAGTGCCTAAATGTTATAATAGATCACAGAGGTATAAATAATTAATAAAACGTTATTAAATAGCACCTTTCCAATAAAGGACAATAACTTCTAATAACTTGTTTAACTGTAAACTAAATTTTACAATTCATCCTACATCCACCCAACCGGTGGAGGCAGATGGCCGTCCCTCCCTGAGCCTGGTTCTGTCGGAGGTTTTTTTTCCCCTGTGGGGGTTTTCGGTTCCTTCCCACTGTTGCGGACTGCTGAAGCTTATAGGGAATCCAAATGTTTTGGATTGTTGGGTGTTTCTGTCTCTGCCTTTGTGAAGCGCTATGAGATGACTTGTTGTTGTAAATATGCGCTATACAAATAAAATTGAATTGAATTGAATCAATAAATCAAACAATTCAAAGTGCTTTAAAAGCACAATGGAAAGATGCAAGCAGTAATTCTTACCATTATAACTCATACAGGTCTTCCTGATGTGGTCCCAGTTTGTTCACTGACTTTAATGATATTTGAAGCTTTACTTGAAGAAATAAAGTTCTTGTGACCTTTTGACTGACCTTCATGTTTCAGAGTAAAGCTGGACTGTTGTTTCTCTCTATTTAGTTGAGCAGTTGTTGCCATAATATGGGTTAATACAGCTGTTGAACGGGGCTTTTTGCTGCATACCAACTAATCAAGTACTAAAAAAGGCAAGAAGTTCCACCAGTTTAACGTTTAAGGTAAATTTCAAGCTCACTTGTTAATTAAAAACCACTTCAGTTAACAGAAGTTACTGTGAGGTTAAAGCATGTCAGATGCAGAGGGAGCTGTGTAACAGGTAGAGTAGCATTAGTTCTTATTGGAGTATAACCACCAAAACATACAAGTAGTTTAATTACTTCAGAATGAACCTTTCATATGTACAGAGGGAGCGGCCGGGTTTCTACGGTGGCCCAGAGCGAACAAACCAAACACTGGCTCTAGGTAAGACCTTACTTCTTAAAACACATTTTTATCGGAGAGCTTTTCCTGATTTTACTAAGTTTTAAGTTTTTTAGCTTCTAGTTTTTGTGTGTACTTTCTACTTTTATCAATTGTTCTGTATGCTTTTGCATTTTAATTTTAATTTATTTTACTGAAAAGCACTTTGTAACGTTTGTTTTGAAAAGTGCTCTATAAATAAAGTTTATTATTATTATTATTATTATTATTATTATTATTATTATTATTACATTACATTTTTAGTGTCCACAGTAACTTCTCCTACACATTAACAAAAGGAGGTTGAGCTGATGGTTGTTCAGTTAATTTCAGAACCCATCACTGTATTCTTTATGAGAAGGTAGAGTCACGATCACTCACTGGAAAGGAATCAGCCCGGTCTTTGTTTTAAGTCTTTCTAAATGAATCACTTTGTCATCTGTCACTTTTAAAACATATATTCAGACCATAGCAGTTCATATGACTGCATGGCCTCGGAGATCACATTCATGGACACAGAATTAAGGATAAATAGAGTTAATAAAGTTAAAGCTGGGCTGCAAGGTGGATCAGTGGTTAGCACCGTTGCCTCGCGTCCTGGTGAGGACACCGGAATCTTTCTGCTTGGAGTTTGCATGTTCTCCCCGTGCAGCGTGGGTTCTCTCTGGGTTCTCTCCGGGTTCTCTGACTTCCTCCCACACAGTCCAAAAACATGTTGAGGTTAATTGGTGATTCTAAATTGTCTGTAGGTGTGAATGTGAGTGTGCTTGGTTGTCTGTCTCTAAGTGTAGCCCTGTGATAGACTGGTGACCTGTCCAGGGTGTCCCCTGCCTTCACCCTGAGTCAGCTGGGATAGACTCCAGCCCCCATGACCCTGGTGAGGATTAAGTGGTGTATAGATAATGGATGGATGGATATATTTTCAGATTTAATATAAATGAGTGTAAAAGTTTATTTTCCCCAATCAATCAAAGTGCAGTCTGCAATCTCACCACTAGGTGTCACTAAATAGAAAGAAAGTACAAAATATCCTAAAATATAAGATTTGTTTTATAGGATAAAAACCGGCTAACCTGATATGATGTAGTTAAAACTGACTCCACCTCGAGTAAATACAAAAATAAAATGTCGACTACATGTTTTTGCTCATGCAACACTGATCCAATCATGTATTATATATGACGCTTTACAAAATTTCTTTATTTTTTTTAATATAAAACTTACATTTAACTGAGTGCATCGACATTGTGGTATTCAAACTTTGTTTTTCCATTCTTGCTTTTCTGAATTTTCTAATTAAATTGAATAAATGTGATAAATGCTGTCAGTCATGATGAAGGTTGAACAATTATCTTATTATCTTATTTTATATTTAAATCTCTTCTATTTTATTTTTTGCTCTTTATTTTGTTCTTTATTCTATGTTGCACTGAAGGAGCTGCTCTTAATCTCATTGTACATGTGTATAGTGACAATAAAGGCATTCTATTCTATTCTATTCTATTCTAACAATTATAAGACCTCGAGTTGTGTGTGTAAAGAATGCCTTAAATATATAAACAACCAGCCGATCAGTTAAGAGAGAATAAATCTGAGGTTCAGCTCTAATGGAAATCATAAGGTGCAGCCCTGCAATAAAGCAACACAGACATACATATAAAATGTGATATATCTCACAAATGAAAGATGCTTTTGATGTTTTTACTTGATGGGGAAAGAACACAAGGCTTTTTATGTTTTATAATAAAACATAGTTCTATTCTAGGCTCTTTCATAATCCATACAACACACATAATGATACCGTAAAATGCTGCGAGGGCAACAAACTGTTCATCTGCACCACAACACTGGAATCCCTTACTTTAAATCCAGCATGATTTAAGCTCTTATACAGCATGTGGCCTGCACCGTGTTGCGCCGCGGAAAAATTGCAGAAGTTATTTTCTTTTTTGATGAGAAACGAAGGCACGCAGAAATTCAGCAGCGAGCCCTATAACGAGTATTTCATCCTGAATGAGAGCAGCTATGGAACAACAAGAGCTTCAGACAAGCTATAAAAATCTGGGATTTACAGCATATATTTGGCAGGAAAACGCCATTACCACTCTGACCCCCTCGGATAAGAAAAAGCAGAACAGCTTCCACCCCTGCAACCTAAACTCCAGTAAAACAAGTATAGTGGGAAGGCTGTGTACGGCCGGCACAAGAGGGTAGCTGTGTAGTTTATGGACACACTGAATGAGACAAGAAGTGTTTTAGTGACATACTGTGTAAAAACACTGTGTTCTTTTTTTTCTACAAGAGACTAAAATATGAATTTTGTTACGATTGCATGAAGCTTCCTGAATATATTATAAAGCGCCTGCTGGCAATCGTGTTTAGCGACGTACGGCCAATGGAGGGGTTTGTTCCAGCAGAAGAAAGCGGGCCAAGAAAATGACTGATGCGTTCAAGAACAGACTTTAAAAACATACCGTAAAAATGCTGCTACATTTTTTGTAATGACTTGCTCGCCAAATAAAAGGAGGACACGTAACAGAAAAATCCAGATGATTTTGTACGATTAAATAGAAACGCAAGATATTTGTGGTGGAAAAAGTTTCCAGCTTCAAGGAAATGTACAGAAATATCAGAAAATGTACCTAAATGTATTCCAAAAATGCTCCAGAATAAATTAATGTTTTGACGCTGCAACAGCTTGTTACACAGAATATGAATTAATGTGTGATTTTGCATGAAATTTGAAGTATTGTGACGAAACAGACAGGCGACAAATTAAAGGAAAAAGCAACGAAGCGTGTCTAAGTAAGGTGTAACTTCAGTGCATCTTGGCATTGATTCTTTAAATTTCTGGAGCTCTTCTGGAGGAATAAACATCTTTCTTCCAAAAGGCACTCCCTCATTTAATGTTTTGTGGCAGAGAACACTGTCTTCTAACTGTTGAGGTTTTTCCTTTAATTTGTCACGTGTTTGTTACTGATAAAAACATATTTTAGATATCACCCAGCCCTACTTAGACATTATTTTAACTATTTAAGGTCAAATTAAGTTTTTCTAAACTGCAGTTTGAATTACCTTCTTAAACTTAATATTTAAATTAGTCAGGTACATTTGCATAATAAATAATATTAGAGCTTATTAACTGTAAAACTGACGTTTCTCCAGTAAATTCACATGATAAATAATACTGAGTCTTAACCTTCATATTTAAATAAGTCTGACAAATTTGTCATCTTGTTTCTCTGTTTGAAGGCAAATTCTTTTGTAAACGTGCAAAATAAGTAACAGTGACTTGAGCTAATTAAACAAATCAGATCATAGATGTTTGCAAGAATTTAATCTGAAAAGTAATTACTAGTAGAGCTGTTAGATTATTTTAGTGGAGTAAAAAGCACCGTTTCATTCTTAAATGTAGAAATACACTTCAAATAAGCACAGAACCTGTTAAATGTACTTGATTACTTAAATAGACTGCATTAAACAATATATATAAAACCAAGTTTAAAAACAAAGAGGGTCAGCAGAGGCTTGTACCATTTATTTTATTACCACACACGCATACAAGCGACACAGAGACACCGTCGTTTAAACATCTGTAACGCATCCTAGTACAGTAACCAAACATACTCTGCTCTTAAATTACTCAGCTACACAAAGGAAACGCTAAGTTCTCGCACGCAAACGTGACCACTGTGGAAAAAAAAAACAACAACAACAAAAAACACATTTCCTTTTTAAGCGAAAAGCCCCAAAATGTTAAAAGAGAAAATAAATAACTAATATGAACACGAGCAAAGACAGTGGTTTATCCAAAACAGTTCAAGTCTTTAGAATATTTTGGTAGCTCTTCTTAAAAAAAACAAAATCCTCTCCTTTTTGTTAGTCTGTTGATTATGAAAACACTGAGTGGTGGGTTTAGTAACACACTGTATGTCTAGTAATATGTGATTAGAGGATGTTTTATCCACACAGTATGTCGCTCTTCTATGTCCAATTCTCTTATTGTGAAACATCATCTAGACCAAACAATTCAGCCTCTTCTGTTGACCTGCTTTATGCTAAACGAGTGAACTAAATATTAACCGAAAAAACAACAAAACAAAAGAACAGATCCTTAAACGTGTTAATTTTCTACAAAAATCAGCCCCTTATTTTACAAGAATGGAAATAGTTACTCATTTAATCAACAGAAAATGAATCACAGGATATTTTGATGCTCATTTTAAGCAAAAATAACAAAAAATTTACTGATTCCAGCGACTCAAATATGACTACATTTTTTTAAATGAAGTTCAATTTACCATCTTTGGGCCTTTTGGCTGCTTTAATAGATTGTGACGACTTCTGGAAGTCTGACAACCTTTCATAGACATCTGCTAATAGTTTCATTAAGGTTAATCTATAATGAATTGTTAGTTTCAGCACTAAATTAGTTAGTTGGATTATTTTGAATTAAGAGACTAAAATCTATAAACGTGTCCTCTCACATGTCACATCAGCTCCTCTCTAATTAGCCGGTACCTTTTCAATGAATTTAAACTCTGCTTTACTGTTATTTACGTGAAATTATTCTGAGCAGAGGTTTCTGACAAACGATCTCCGTTCAGGTGTCGATGTGACGAACGGAGACCGTTACAACATTTCAAACATAATTTCAACAACAAATCCAAAAGTGACCTTACGCCTAAGAAAAGCAGAGTTAAAACACTTCTGTCAAAATAAATATTCTAAGAAGGCTGATCCTGACGTTTCTAAATCTAAATCTTTGTATTAAAAAAAAAAAAGGAAAAAAAATTTAAAAAAGATGTCAGAGTACCTGTAGTGTGAGAAAAAACCAGGATGTGCAACCCAGTGCACTCCGGGTGAATGTGAAGTGTCTCCCTGTAGCTAAACAGTCTCTGCCGTGCTTCACAGTAGCGTCGGGCCCTTGGTGGTGTAGTTCATGGCGGGGAAGTGGCGGCTGTCCACGTCCCAGTGGCCCAGGGGCTGCTGGGAGGCGGGCGGGAGGCTGGGGTTCCAGTGGTTAATGTAGCTGGCCATGAGCAGAGTCAGCTCCAGTATCTGAGAGGGGAGAGACGAATGGATTTAACACGATGGTCTCGATGTGTTTCATTTGATTCTGGGGGAGCTGCAGAGCCGCAGACGATGTGAAAACCTAACAAACCCAGAAACCGGGAGCGGTGTTACCCAGATTAGCATCACCTCCAGCAGTAACGCGACACTGTGTTAAAGCTCCGTCGAGGTTCTGAGAAGAGAAACGAGCTGCTTTCTTCATCAGTTGTGTAAAAGCAGACGAATGTGGATAAATCAGAGGATCAGGTTCACTTTTATAGAACTTCATCAACTCTCCGTCCCACCTGCACTTTCTGAAGGTGTAGCTGATGCTTTGGTTTAGAAACCTTTTTTTTTTTCTTTTTTTTTAAAGACCCACAAGTACCTCAGCAACACCTCACTGGAGTTGGTTTCTTAACAGGATACTTTTCAAGTTGCAGAATGTGAATTAGCAGGTTTAAATCACAACGCAGCAGAATCCAGCCTGTTTCAATAACTTAAAGGATGATTTCAACTGCTTGAATGCCAAAAATGAAAAATACAATAAGTAATATAATATCTGCAAACAGACATCATATTTTTCTGACATGTATTTTTATTTCACAACAACACATCGTCCCACATTCGAGGCTGAGGACCAAAGGTGACCGGGCCTTTCCCTCTGGACCAGCCTCCCTGAGGAGATCAGATCGGCAGACACTTCATCCTCCTTTAAAACTCTTTTAAAAACACATTTATACAGATGTGCTTTTACAGGAGTTGTCTTATGAGTGGACTTTTACTCTGTTTGATGGCAGTATTAAGGGCAGTACATTTTATCTTCTGACTGTTTTATTCCTTTATTGTCTTTTAATTGTCTTCTTTTACTGGGTTTTATTTTTCTTATATATTTTTATATTGTTTTATTGTCTTTCATGCTTTATGTGTTTCACCTTCACCATTTTTTATTTATTTATTTATGTATTTTTTGCTTTAATGTTGTTTAATGTTGTTTTCTTTACACTTCTCTTTGAATCTGTACAGCACTTTGTAACCCTTTATTATTATTATTATTATTATTATTATTATTATTATTATTATTATTATTATTATTATTATTATTATTATAAATGAATTAGCCACATCGTTAATGCCCACACCATGAGTCATGGCAGTAAATTCAATAGCTAAGTGATAACAACACTGATAACATGCGTTTGCTTATTGTTGAATTTATTTATTTTTTTAAATGTAGCTGAACATCTGTTAAAGTTTTCTGCATCTGTGCTACTAGTAGCAAAATCAAAATATTTCAACCATTTATCAGTCACCTTTTAGCTTCATTTACTGTTTATCCTATTTGACCTGTTTGTTCATTATTGTTAGATCTCTATCTGAGCTGCATGCTCATTATGTTCTGTTCATTCTGGGAATTAGGTGGCAGCCAGACAGATAAACATGTAAGAAACCATGACAACAACACATAAAATACAATTTTAGAGATTAAAAAAAAACAATTAAATACATACAATAAACATGTTTAAAAGCACTCAGAGCTTAGATGCTTAGATGGTGGAAAAATGATTCAAAGAATTAATTTTTGACAATTTAATAATCTGATTACACTGGGAAAAATGAGTATTTGTAGCAATTACTCCTGATTTTTTAGCAGGTTTATAGCCTGAAATCAGAGCAGTGAATTCTGGGTAAACCGTCTGAAAGCACAGCATGAGCTCGATGCAGAACATTTTTCTGTCAAACAGATCAGAAAGGTTTTGTTTCCCGTCACCTTCTCACTGTTTCTGTCGATGCAGTTGACTACATTAAATGATCTATACGATGGTTCTATACATCCTACGTTCAGTCAAAGACGTCTTTGTCAGTATGAAATATAAAAACAGAGTTATCAACAGTTGTTCCTAAACATGTGTAATTATTCACACATTCCACTTTACGCTCCACTTATTTTTACTATTTTAATATCGACACACTCTCGGTTACAACATGCTGTTTGGACACAGCTGACATAAAATGTTGATATATTTTTTTAACCAAACCACAGATTAATAAAATATTCTCACATTAGTTAAGTCGATCCACCATCTTTTGATGTGTCAAAAAGGAAACTGCAGAAGTTCCCTCTTTGGTCCAAGTTGCTTCAGATCTAACAAAATGCTTTGTTAAAATTCAGGTGTTCACAGGATTGGTACCTTTGGTTTAGCCATCGCAAAGACCAGCTTCTCCACGCTCTTCTTCCCGACTCCGGGCTCCCTCTGCTGGCTCGTGACCACCATGAAGTCGTCACGACAGCCACCGAAGGTAATCACAGACTGGTAGGAGTACGTGACCAGCGTGTGCTGAGAAATGAAAGCAGTGCCAGTGTGAAACGTGCAGCGAAACGGATATGAACAGGGAGCACGCATGGATTTTTATTGCCGATCCCAACATAGAGCGTGGAATTCAGTCGGTCGAGTTTTGGTTTCAGCTTTTTTGAGGGTTAAATTGAGTGTGAAGAAGTGTGACATAATTTCCAGAAACTTAGTCTGACTTTCGCTTTGTTTTTCTCTCTTACTTTTCAGAGAGCCCATGAGCAGCGCTGCATGCCAGACCGAGAATGAAACGGATCAACATGGGGCTGCTGAAAATTACAGAGCTCACTTTAACATAGTTTACATGTTGGAAGTGCAGTCTGTCAGGGTCAAGTATGTCAAATCAGAGGCTGGCCATTTTATTTTCCTTTGGATTTCTGGTGTTTGAAACACCACAGAATAAAAACCATTCCAGACCAGTGGGTCAGGAAAACTCTGCAGCTGCCACCAAACCAGCTGAACGCTGCAGTTGTTAAAAGAAATCCCAGTGTTTGAACTTGAAATGTCAAAATAACACACGTTTTTTTCGATTCTGAAACGCTGAATAAATGAGACTTTATTCTGTTTTTTTGTGTAATGTAGGTGTTTCCTCTGCACAGATTGAAACTCACCATTGTATAATCCAGCACACACAGTCCGTCCTCGTTGACTGCCAGCCACACCTGGCTCTGCTCAACGGGAGAGGGAGGGACCGGCTGTGGACGGCAAAGAAATAAGCACAGAAAGCTTATTTTATGCATGTAGTCATCTCAGGAAACATTATAGGTTCCTCTGTGGCTCTTTAAACTGAACAAATTAACCCTATGAGCCCCAGGTAGCTGTCAGGTTCATTTCTTTACTTTTAAGCTAATTTTAGGAGCGAGCCACACAGTCGTCCTCAGATGTATTCATAAAGGCAAAATTCACAACAGTCACTCAAATAACTAGAAAGTGAAAAAGTAATAATAAATAAAAATTTGCTAAATTACAATTTAGTGAAATAAGACACTGCTTTTGAATTGTGGTTGAAAGGACTCATTTAAAAAAAAAAAAAAAACTGTCCCAGACAAATTAAAGCACTTTGCTGATGAGCAGTGGGCCAAAAACCAAACACCTGTCAACAGGTGCAGAAGTCTGACTGAGAGTTACAGAAAACACTTGATTGGCTCAAAGAGTTGTTCAACAAAATATTAGTTTACGGGTCCCATCATGCTTGCTTGCTTGTGTGTTTTTTTTTAAATAACATTTGTGTTGAGCCACAATTCAAAAACAATGTCAGAATTTTCATTACATTTTTATTTTTTACTACTTTTTTTCAGTGACAGCTGTTCTTTTTCTTCTTTAATGGGAGGGTAGGAATAGATTTGAGGACGACTGTACATGCTGTCTATGCAGATTTTCCACCATTTGATGTGAAGATACTCGCACTTTTTTTAATAACTGCCTTTATATTGTTATAATTGGCTATCATGTGTTCTGAATCTGTATTTCTCCAATGAACCCACGATCCAGTTTTGCACTTTTCTACTGAGCACAATGTACGTCCTTGAAGATAACATGACCGGTTAGAACTGGTTCACACACTAGGAGACAGCTGAAACTCCTCTATTCTATCAGTAGGACTGTTACTTTAGCAACAACATCCACACATGCTGCTTCCCACATTTCAAGAACGTGGATAGAAGAGGTATGCCTGTCCACGTCATTGGTAACTGGCTATTATACTCGGAGTCCAACCTCTGTACGGGGCAGGCCCAGCCCAAGAAGATAAATGTGAATCATTTCCGGATATCGGGGCTCCTTCTGATAGAGATCTCGCGAAAGCTCTCTGAGACCAGCACTGCCTCACTTTACCTGTGACCTACATAAATTCTACATCTGTGAACTGAAGATTTCTCCGGTTTGTTCTTGGGCTTCCAACTAAAGAATTGGGCTAACTATATCCAAGAAACAATAGTTCACAATTCCTTTCACTACAGAAAACAACCACCTCCAACCTGGCAACCTGCACGCTCAAAATAGCAAGTAAGATGAAGGTTTAGATAAGGCAGGCTGCTTGGTTCTTTCAGTGAATGGTGGTAAAGATCTAAAAACACTATGTTGAGAGCAATTGCTGTCTAACATAGATGTTCTTGCCCCATCGGTTTGCTCAGTGGTTAAAGAAGAAGTCTCATTTTCCAAGCACGTTCCACCAAAACAAGCTCCCTACCAACATCACTTTACAGGAGCTGCATCCTAAGCTTAGCCCCAGCCAAGAAAATGGTGATCGGTGTAAGAAAATACAAACAAGCCAGATCGTTTCCCCACCAAACAAGCCAAAACATTCTCCAGCACCGCACAGATAAGTCAGTCAGAGAACAAGATTAAACAGAAGACGATAATATAAAACGACTAAGACCCTTTTTCTTACCTTTGCACTGAAGAGCTTGGCTCCAAACAGGGGCCATTTCCGAGCCACAGTCAGATAGATTCTCACGCACTCGGATGCACTGCACCCACGCAGCATCGACCACTTAGTGGCCAGACGCTCAGTAAGATCTCTGAAAGGAGGAATAAAAACAAAAAGCAGTGGTGGGTTAAAACACCGTTTGTAGATGCATTAGCTGAAATAAATTCACAATAGAAACGGTCAACAGCGTCTGTGTCTGATCTGGTCCTGTGTAGTGACAAAGTGTGGCATAAAGTCAATTCATTGTTTCTTGTTTGTACAGCAAAGTTAAATTAACAGATGTTGTGCTTTCTAGTAGAAAAATGACAGCCATTATGAATTAAACTAACAAGCCTAAGTATTAAGGTTAAAACCCAGACTCAGTGGTTTTTATGGTGTAAATTTAGCAGACTAATTGGCTTATTATGGATTAGAAAGTTAAAAAAAAAATGCAACTTTACCTGACTAGTTTAAATATTAGGGCTAAGACCCTACAGGACTATTAATTATGAAGATGAATCTGATTAATTTTGATCTAAAGTCCCCCTGAAAACATATACATGAAAGCCCAACAAATCTATGGATTCCCTGGATCTTTAACAGCCAAACTTTATTTCCGTATATTCTGTTAATTTATTTTTTATCCGTTTCCTTTCTTTTCTCATTTATATTCGCAACAATGGAGAGAACCAGGCTCAGGGAGAGCAGCTGCATGCCTCCACCGGTTTGGGTGATAGTTAAAGGAAGAAACAAAAGGGTAGCAGAGAAACAAATGAGAAAAAAAACACTAGAACAATCGATCGGACAGTGTTTGTCCATTTTTGTCTGTTTCCTTTTGCTTTTCTTGCAAGACAATATTGCAAAACACGGCAAACAAATCTGTGCGTGGACTTGAAGTTCTCAGGTTCTACATGAGGAGAATGTGGAGTGAAGTATTTATTTTAACAACAGCGGTGTTGAGTTTTTTTTTACCTGAGCTGCTCTGAGCTACAGTCCTGTTTGTAGCGTTTTGGGTAGAAGCGCTCTAATGCTTGCAGGAGAATCAGCTGAGATTTGGGCTGAGGAGAGCCGGTGGGAGAGGAGGCACCTGGTCGCTCCAAGTCACCATGTTCAACCTGCAGGGAAACAAACAATAAAACAGAAGATTAGACAGAAAAAGATGGTTTTAAAGCACGGTTAATCTTTCCACATATCATGCTTTCGACACAACATCTACAGACCTGTGCCATGAGTGCAGCCACCTCCAGAGCCAGCTCTTTGTTCACAGGGAAGTGGCCTTGCTGAACTTCATCGTTCACCTGATACGCCAGCAGGAGGCGCTCTCGCTCCGTCTCTCCTTTCACCTGGGATCTGAAGCACAGCCTGCACGGGAACACAAGAAGAAACGGTTGCTGTGAAATCTGTTTTCCTGGAAGTCTACATGTTGCACTTAATTTCCTAAATGTTTCAAAGGTTTTTCTTTATGTTCATGAGGTAAAAGATGCTGCTAAGGCCACATATGAACTCAGAAATCATACCTGCTCTTGTACGTCAGTCGGACAATCCGTGTGCCCTCATTTTTCCCAGGATGCAGCTCCTTTAGCGCCTGCTCCCATTTGGAAATCACGTCACAGATCTGGTAAAGGGGAATAAAAGTTACGAACCACATGTCTGGAATAAACTCCCAGAAAACTGCAAGTTCTAAAAAAAATAAAATAAAATCGAGGACGAAACTTTTCTTTTTGCAAAAGTTGAGGCTTCTATATCTTAAACTCCAATGTGACTTCCACTGTACCTCTTTTAATCATGTTGAAAGACCTTGTTATATTGCTTTATGTTCCTTTTCCACTTTGTCTTGATGCTTTTCATGATTTATGTAGAACACAGTGAATTGACTTGTTGGTTAAGTTTTTTTCCTGGTTCTGGTTTCGGCCAGCAGGGGGCAGTAGCTCCATTTACAGACACTGATCTGTTCAAAAACTGCCACATGGAGTTATAGCCTTCTCTTGTGTGGGGTAAACATGATGGAACGATTTCAGTGACCATAATTAAAACCAAACTTTAAACATGATTAAATGGAATTAAATTACAGAGGAAAGCTATGATATGCTTCATCAAGCCTTCATCTGAAAATCAAAAGTCCCAAAACGTCTGAACGGCCTCAATTTATCAAAACAGTCTCAAACTACTCACAGCTGATCGTCTAAATGATTAGGTAATATGAGATTAATGATTCAACTGATACACCAGAGAAAGCCAGCAGCCTCAGCGGGTTTCTTCCATCCTCACATGCTCAGCGACCCACGGTCCTACCTTGGCAGTGGGCTGCAGGCAGTGCTCCAGGTCTTTGCCAGACGGATCGTCAGTGAAGAGGGTGAACCCCGTCAGCTGTGGCTTCCTCATGCCAATCCTCTGGTTCAGCGTGTTGAGGAACTCTTCCACTGTGGTGGAGCCGTCGAAACCCACCACCTGCAGGAGAAAACATAGGATGCGTCTCACTGATAAGAAGCAAAACCAGGAGAAACTCAGTCACGATCACGCTGTGGTAGAGCTGCATTATGAAAATGTGTCTCCTTTTAGAAGTCAAAAAACAGCAGCAGCAGCAGTTTAGAATGAAATGAATGAATGAAAAATACTTTATTTATCCCAGAAGGGAAATTCAATCTTGTAAAAGCTCACTTTTTTTTATATTTATTTATTTATTTTTTAAATCAATATAACATATATTTTATACAACAACAACAACAGTCATTCAGTCAGTCGGATTTGTTTTTAAAGGTGATGGCTGTTGGCAGGAAGGAACTCCTGTATCTCTCCGTTCGACAGCGAAGCTGACGCAGCCTCCCACTAAACACACTCTGTTGGTTCTTCTCTGTGTTGTGGAGAGGGTGGGAAGAATCCTCCATCATCTTCATCATCTTGTGCAGCATTCTTTTTTGAACAATCAGCTCCAGTGGTTCCAGAGTTATCCCCAGCACAGAACCAGCTTTCTTGATCAGCTTGTTTAGCTTCTTTAAGTCTCTGGTTCTGATGCTACTGCCCCAGCAGATGGCTGCAAAGCTGATTGCACTTTCCACAACAGACTTATAGAAGATCTGCAACATCTTGGTGCAGACACTGAATGATCTCAGCTTCCTTAAGAAGTAGAGTCTGCTCTGACCTTTCTTGTAGATGTAGAAGAGGAAGTTCATGCTGAAAATGACCCTGAATTATAAACTGAAGCTGCTTTCATTCTCATCATCGAGTGCAGGTTGGAATGTGTGGAACTGGCCTGAAATAAATGCCACTTAAAAGGTCATTCTGGTGTATTTTAACCTTGCGTAGTTCCCATTAATGGAGGTAATGGGAATGAGGCCCATTAATGAAGTGTCATGCTAATTATCCCTCTCCAATGCAGAGATTCAACAACAATGAGGGGTAGCAAAAAACAAAGACAGCAGACTTTTACACTATTTCTAACCATTTATTTTCCAAATGAATGCAGAAATTTGCCACCTGACTGGACGTTTTCTGATTTTCTAATGCTAAAGGCTAATCACATGCATACTTATTTGCACATGCTGGTTTGTTTACATGTGTGAGCCTGAGTTTCGCTGTGAGAATGGAGGCCAAAAGACATTGAGAAATGGTTCCCCCGCTCGCCGCTCTGCTGCCGACTGAGGAGGAAAACTTTTCCTAAAGAGCGGGACAGACTTGGAAAATCTCCACGTGTCCATGGATGAGAGGAATCCCAGCTGTGGAGCTACAACTAATGAATCCGCAGGCTGGAGATGGTGTTTCACGTTTCCAAAATCAGCTGGAAGGAGAGACTGGCGGGATCGCTCACTCAGCTCTGCATACGGTAAGTTAAAGCTGCTACAGTTAGAAAAAGGTCCATTCCAGGCAGCTAATTTCTGCGTTTAATCTTAGTCAGACTTGAAAACAAACATTTCAATTGACTCACGTAAAAACAAACACAAACATGCCAGGTTGAAATACACCAGAATGCTCCTTTACGGGAACTCAAAGCAAAATCTGTGCCTTTAAGACAATAATAAGACGAAATCATCAGGTAGACGCAGCTTTTGTTTGCATTCCATGTCCATGTGCTGTGCTTTTCTAACTCCGTTACCTGGTAAGTGTTGTTCATGAAGTGAACTGGGATGCTGAAAGGCAGTGAATGGTGATAAGGGTTCCTCAGCAGGATGGAAACTATCTCCATACGTGAAGGTTTGGCCTCCCGCTCTCCGTTCTGCAGAGTTCGCTCCAGAGATCTCTGACAGTAAACAGCATACTTCCCCACCTCGCTCCTGTGTCGGGAGAAAAACAGATGAAAATGTAACCAAGGACTAGAGAACGTCCTCACAAATGAGTTTTTCTGCTGCATTTTGAGGATTCAGGGGTCACCGAAAGAGTCGAGTCAGTTCACCTTGGGTCAGCGTTGTGTTGCAGGTACTGTCTCAGGTACCAGAGGAAATGTTGTTGAGGAAGGAACAGAGCCACACACAGAGACAACAGCTGCCAACACTACAAGAAGAGATAGAAAAAAAAAAGGGGGAGAAAACCTTCCATTTTAGTAATTTATCCCCCACAATCTGCTGGCGGTTCGAAAGGCATTTCATCTTTTTTAAAAATATCACCAAAACCACGCCGTTTATCAGAACCAGTAAAAACAGAAAGGATCACCAGACTATCGAGTTTCCAACGCTCGTCAAACCACTCATCTTTGATATAAGGCTCTGTTGGAAAACTTAAAAGAAGCTTAAAACCATGACATGTCGTTAAAATCCACTTTATTTATGTCTCTTTTTTTTTTAAATCGCCAAAAATAAAATGTTTGCATGAACCAAATTCTATTAAAATAAATCTTTGGTGCGACCTTGAAGCCTTGAGTGACTCAGCTGGAACAAACAGTCACATGACATAATTCAGGTACTATTCAGCTGAACTGCAGGCCGTGTTTCAACAGAGCAGACAGGAGACAAATATGGAAAGAAATCAAAAATGTAAGCAGTGAAATTCCTTTTGTGTTCATTAAATGACCAGAAATTTCTTGGAGTTCACAGGGTTAACCAACAGGAACAATGAAAATCTCTTTATAGTTATTAGGGATGCACGATATCGCACATCGGTATCGGCCGATATTAGTGTTTTCTCCGATATGTCGGTATTGGTCTGATGAACAAATTTAGCCAATGTGAAAAACCGATGATTGTAACATTAGCGTCTTCGTCTCTACATTTGATATTGCTGTTATTTCACAGATGTTTTTACTTAAATGGTCCTGGACTTAAATATGTTAAAATATGTTTAAATATGTTTTACTTTTGCTACATAACAAAGAAGACTATGTGGTCTAATTTGGGCTTCTTCTGAATAGTTTTTACGTTTTCACAGTGCTTATTTAAACAAATTTTTCTGTGTGAATAAAAATTGAATATCGACATCAGTAATATCGGTTATCGGCGATATCAGAAATCTTGATATCGGATATCGGTATCGGCCAGAAATTTGAATATCGTGCATCACTAATAGTTATGCATTTTTTCTATTGTGCGTTTTGTTTCTGCTTAGAAGTGCAAATAAAACTAAAATAATGTAAGTTTTTGCGTCCCCAGCTCTTTGAACCTTTCTGTCGGATCTTTACTGCTGACCTGTGTGAGAGAGTAGTTGTGTGGCGTCCGCCGGTTGGTCTGTTTGATGAGCTGACAGTACATCTCATTCTGCAGCTCCGGGTGGGTCAGGCACACTTGCAAAGCATTCTGGGCCAGCGAGGTGTGGTAATCGACAGACGGCGACTCTACCAGCACGTTGATGAAGAGCTGACAGGACTGCAGGGAAGCAAAGACGATGGAGACGTTTAACTACCAGCAGGTGGAGGCAAACACACACACCAGGAACCCACATATACTCCGAAAGCAGCACATATTCAATACAATTTAAAACTTGTAAAGAAATACAGCGGCGGGTGATTAAAGTATTCAGTGTACATGAAAATATCCACAAGGCATCAGGTCAGTAAGAGCTCCTTTGTGAGGAAAGAAATGTGAACTTCATTATTTTGCTCTCATTCACCGGTGAAGACAAAGAGCCCATTTAACAGTTTATCAGCCTTGTCAGATTCATTAATACTTCAAAGACGCGGAGCAGAGCATAGACTTGAAAGGCACGTCACCTCCATTCACTCTGTTTCATTGTGCGTGTTCGGGACAGTTTTTAAGGCTGGCTGGTCAAAGAAAGCGCCGATCCATTCAGCCTTCAATCCTGCAGCCCTACTGTAGCTGGTGGGGCCTGTGAAGCATGAACCGGGCGGGGAGGGGGGCTTCTGGGTGGGCACGCCGAGGGCTACAGGGTTGAAAAGAGAGGAAAAGGATCTGCCATCTTCCTGTATCTACTCTGATCCCATTTCTTCTCCGCCTATTCTGCAGCTTCCATATCCATCGCTGCCACTTTCTGAAGCCCCTGACCTTCCATGTCTGCTCCTCAAAGAGGGGCTGCATTCACACTGGCTGCAAACCGCAGGAACGGTTAGCCTCAATCAGAGCAGATAATCAAGGCCATTATCTCTCTTCTACACGTTTGATGAGCCGGGCCCCTCGGCCTCGAGCCTTTGATCTGGTTTAGAGGCAGGAGGGGAGGAAAGAAAAAGAGGGAGCGCATCCAGGAGCAAGAGGAGGAGGAGGGTAAAGAGGGGACAAACCGGAGCTGGAGGACAGACGATGCCTTGAACAGACCCTCACGGTGAGACAAGGAGAGAGAAACAGATAAAAGGAAAAGGAGAATCAAAAGCAAGTGGGCTGGAACAAAAGAGGCGGACGGTGAGAGGTGGAGAGGCCGACCTTGAAAAGCTTGAGAGCCTCCGTCTGCAGAGCTTCGGAGGGCAGAGTGGTGAGAGGCGAGCGCAGACCCTCCTTACAGAAGCTCAAGGCCTCGCTCTTCCACAACACAGACTCTGGGAAAAGAAAAAGAGAAGGAAACACACACACACAGTATATATTAACCCACGCAAACACACACACACAGACAAGCAGAGATTGGGTTTCAAAGCTGTAATGACCTAACAGCTGACAAAAATTCGCACACTGTGCTCGAGTCGTAAACAGTGTCTGCAGAGCGGATTAAGGCTGTCAGACGACGAGGATCAAAATAACACGCAAGTGCTACTGAGGAAATTTATATTCCCTTTATAGAGAAACGCTGCACGTGTTGCCCTTCAGTCCATGCTTTCACTGTGTTTGTCCAAGTGTTACACAGGTTTTTTTCAGTGTTAGCTAGTTTTCAGATCAGGTGTTTTTCATTTTTTTTGTACTTCTGCCTGTAGAAATAAGTGTGGATTATATCCTGGAAATGAAAATAGCACACTGCAATTATGCCTGGTGTTAAAAGTAGAACCCCATGTATATTGCATTGACTTAAATTTTAACAAAATTATAAGTAACTAACTTGACAGCACAACCTTAAAAGTCCTATTAATTTATCAAGTCTGTAAATATAAAATTGGGACTGTTTTGTTGGGGGGGGGTTTCTTGAAATTTTGCAGTTTTCTTTTTTTTCCGTTTGCAAATCCTCCAAAAGTCTAATAAAACTCTGTTATGAAAACACAGCTACAGAAGGAATGTGACTTTGTTCGCTGCTAAAAATGCAGTTTCTCCACTATATCTCTACATAACAGATGTTTTTTTGTTTGTTGATATTATGTATTGACCTGTCCAGGGTGTCCCCTGCCTTCGCCCTAAGT